TTTTGTTGTGTGCTTCACAGGAATAAATGACACAAGCCATGAAACTGAATTGAGTATGCTTAAGGGACTATAACAGATTGTATCATGAGTTCAATCAATTCCTATTTTGGAAAGTCAGTGTCATAGAACTTTAATCTTATTTTAAAATATTTAATATTTTTAAAGTATTTAATACCTACAACACAACCAAAAAGATTTTAAAAAGTTATTTTAACCACATTTTTACATTTAGCGAAGAAAAAAAAAGTCTATATTTTCTTGCAAACATCTATAACAGGTAACAAACATCCTCCAAGCAAATTTAGTTGGATTTTCCTAAGATAAGGGTTTACTGAAAAGTAATATGTAAATCCTTCAATATGACTAAGACGCATCCTGTAAATTTTTCAAATTTAAGCGTTTACCAGACAATTTTGGAAGGAAAATTATGATTAGGTTTTGACTGAAAAAAGGATAGGTTAAATTGTTTATTACTCTCATAGCAGTAAAAATGTCAATAGAAGTAGAACTGAACTTACACCTAAATTGAAAAGTGGTCTTTTTGCTGTCCCAGATATTAAAAGGGCACACCAAACTAAAATGCTGTAGCAAAGTATTGTTGGTGGTACCAGCACCATAATATATCCAAGTGATTAGTCTTACTGACCTGGAATTAACTATTGAATGTAAAGTTTTAGATGGAAGTGATTGGCTAAAGTGTACAGTGACTGAAAGATTTTAAATTTGAAATATCATCAAAGATAATATCCATGTCACATACCTTATTGATCTAAAAATTAAGCGTTGTGTCCATGCTAATTTTTTAGGCCTCATTTATAGTCAATGGCAAGAGATGAGCATCTTCAGAAAGTAATTCATCTCACCTTAAAAAAAGATCTCCGAGGAAGGTGAGAGACTTGCCTTCTGAAGGTGAAATCAACGCCTGTGGGAGTCTAGAAATCACCAGGGACTCAACACCTGCCTTTCAGGTACATATAGCTAGATAAGATGAGCCGGACTTAAGCTGTGATTAAACCAAATGACATACCATCAGCAAAAAGGCTTCGATATTAATGGCATATTTCATTCCTAAGCTTAATTTACTGAGTATCTGTTTGCTTCCCTCCCTTCCTTCCTCCATCCAGAGTCAACTTTTGATTTTTTTTATTACTACATTGCCTAAGAGGACCAATTGCCTTGTTCCCTGTATACCAGTTCAGCAAAAGGTAGAACTTCATAGCAGGTTATCTACCTGAGAAATACTCTGGCTCCGTAAAGACTCAATATAGTTTAAATTCCAGATTCTGCACCAGCTACTTCCACCACTTCCTCTTATGGTAGCAAATCTGAATCATGAGTTTACTTCTTCAGATTTTGCCAATAAAACACTTATCTTTAGGATACCAAAAGCTGTGTGTTTTGGTGCTATCTGCAAAAACCGTGTGCAGGGCATAGAATAAAGGGAAATCCATAGTATAGTACTGTATGGCTGAAATACGGTACAAGTCCATATTTAATCAAAAAAGTAAAAGGACTCCTTTTTGAAAGTACTGAGCACCCAGATGTCCCACTAAACTCCCTATGACATTTGTGCCTTGCATAGTAGGTGGCGGCCCTTTTAGAGAAGATGGGAGAAAAGAATCATCTGAAAAACTCTTTAATGCAAATGTAGCTGATATAAATAGCTGTATAGTAAGCAAGAGAAATATATTGTCACCTTAATTTTAAAATAATTGGTGTTCTCTGGCCTGCTAAGAGATGAAAACTTAGAAAGAGATATGCAGAGCACGTTTAATCCAGCTTGAATGAACTTGATTCCAAGAGTATTCTAATAAAACATCAGCATACTATACCCTTGCTGAATATCTGTAAATAAAAAATAAAAAAGTTCTATATAACGTCAAAATGTCAAGCTTAAACTTTGTTATGAAAATCTGCGTTCTCCCAGTCACACTCCTTAAACAAAATCCGCTGGAAATGATTGTCTTGCTTTGCATGTGTGTGAAGCAGCTGGCATCTTTCTTGCTACTTGTTTCACCGAGTTGCTTTCTTTCCTTTATTTCATGCATATTTTGTTCTACTAGGAAAAGAACAACCTGCTATTGTCACAATTTCTGGGGAAAGCCAAAAGCATGGATTTGATCAGTAATTCCTTCCACTTCAGAAATATGTGGCATAGTGTTCTCAAGCATTTTAGGATCCATCATCACCCCTAGCACTGCTCTCATAAATTACAGGAGTCATAACAAACATTAAACAAAAGGTCTGTGCACAGGAATGCTACTTACCAGGCACTTGCATCACACTGCGACTGTATCTCTCATGTTTTGTACAAAATTCAATTTTGCAAATACCTTTAAAGTGCCATCTACACAGCCCCAAACTGACATTTTACAAACTTTTTATGTTCAACAGTATTTGCAACTTGGATCTGTCAGTAGAGGTGTGACTGGAGAATTTTGCCTCTAGTCACTTACAGTTTCTAATCCATTTTCATAGCTTGCTATGAAGTTGTCATGAACTCAAGACCTGGATACGATGCTGAGGACTCTGATTCATCAGCAAAGGCAGCTTGCCTTGGGGTGGCTGCAATAACTTCCTCTGCTCTTGATCTTTCTCTTCTGCGAGCAGTTCCCTTGCCTGCTTAGAGGGACAGTTCTGCTACCTGTGAAGCAGTTCCTGAACTGTTAGTTTATAGCTCAGGGTATTAAAATGAACTGATACCAATTTTTTGTTCAGTTTTCAGCTGTAGTCCATTAATAGTGGCTGTAAAAGTTATCCCTAAGCAGCCAGTGAGTAAAGGGTGGGTGGGTAACCAGAGTGGAAATCACGGCAGCTGTCCTAAGCTAAACCATCCCTGCTTGTGAATCAAAACCTCAATTATACTAAGACTCCTCTTGCCATGTAAATTCTATTAGTTCCCTTAGACGCTTTACCTTAGAATAAAGCATAAATGACATGTGGGGTCAAGTTGCAGATTTATTTTTTAATTGCCTTAGCATAGGTATTTATTCTCCTGGTAAATTGTTGAGAAGGGCATCCGTGGCAATTCAATTGAAAAATAAAATACCTGGATTTCAGTGGATGAGGTCAATGCAAATGAATAAATTCCTTATGATAATCAAATTAAATACTCCCTGGAATACTACTCAAAATGTTTTTGAAATTTTTAATCTGTTGCCAAGTGTAACACACAACAGAATACTAAAAAAGGGATGTTACGTATTTCTTTGCAATGATGTCATGCCATTACAGCATCTGATGCATTTGTTTGATGCAAATGGTTGTTCAGTAACATATATCTGTATTATAGAATCTCGAAAAATATTAACCTAAATGTTTCTTCAATCTAGATTATTAAAAAGTAGATGCTAAATAACAAAAAATCAACCTGGTCTTTTCCGTTTGAGATTAATTATTTAACAATAAAAGGAATTATTTAGAGAGAGCTTCTTTATGTTATAAATGAAGTTGCTTTCCTTGTAGACTTTCTTTTCTAGCATTTTTGGAAAATAACTGTTCATATTGTTGCCATCAAAGAAGTTACTTCACTTTGCACTTTGCTTGTCTTTGTAACCCACGAGTTCATGTGAGACTGCTTCTGGTTACTGCTAAGATTCACTTTGTGAGTTCAGTCTGTGAGTTTTGTGAGTTCTAGCTGCAGCTAGAAGCAGTTGTAGAGATTCATATTTAATTTCTTATTAAAATATTTGCATACAAAAAGATGATGGTAAATAGAGCTATAGTTCCCATTGTGCCACTATGATATTCAATGGCTATATTTCTGTTGAAATCTACAAGAGCAGGACTAGGCCAATGATTCAAATCGTATCTGTGTTTACTTCTGATTGTCTACATTTGTGGGAGACCTTCGTACAAATAGGGGGATCATTTGGTCTGCCATTTCAAGTATGGTGGATGACAACCTAGGCTGAATGACAAGTCCTCCTTGTCTCTCTTCCTAACGAGTATTTAGATTTCAAAATAGTGAAGGTTTTCTGGATGGAAAGAACAGACAAAATAGTCTGTCAGAACCTGGAAAGTTCTCTTATAACACTATACTAGCATAAGAAAGGTAGAGATAGATTTGGTGAGATCATAACTGGAAACTCATTTTAGGAAATATTTTTATTATCCATTGATGGTTGCTGTCATTGAAGTGTGAATACATTGAGGAATGGAGGCCTTACTTCTATTACAGGTCCCAATGAGGATTTATTGATGCAAGGAAGATGGAGAACATTAAATTGCATAACTTATTGGTTGCATATAAAAGCAGTAAGAAAAGAACTAGTTAAGTATGCACACATGTATGTGAATGAAATTCTAGAAAAGTAGTACGAGAAGAAATAGGTACGCAGTTATATTTATGTTTTAATGTAGCTGCTGTGTGACACATTTGCAACTTCACTTTTCCCTTCATTCCGTACTCAGGATTTTTTTTGTCCTTGGTGTACATAGCCTTTTGCTTCCCATCCTTCAGATGCAGTCCACAGGAATGATGCAATATGTGTGTGCCGTCAAGTGAAGGCTCAGTAATTTCTTCAGCTAGAACTTGTGAAAAGAAGGAGCCTTAAGGGGAGATGCAATGTGAACGGGACACAGATAGCAGTGAATCTTAAATAGATAACAAGAGGTAGGGAACCTTGGTAAGAGAAAATAATGGGTTTGAAAGAGAGAGATTTTTGGAGAAGATGAATATTTGGTGGAATCAAAACTATATGTACGTTCAACACAAGTAAGCTTCAGAAGGGCCAGAACCTGGAAAGCACTACCAGACCAAATTATCCACTGGGTCCTGAATCACTCTGCTAACTGTAATTACAATAGGATACAGTTTATACCAGTCTTGCACAGGAAGGAGAGCTGTCCTCAAACTCTTGAATAATAAAAATCAACTTTCACAAACTTTGTTTCTGTTAAATAAGGTAGTATAATTAGTCTTGTATGCAGTGAAGAATAATTTTAATCACCAAAGGAATACTTTTTCAAACCTGTTTTGTTTTAAACTCTGCACTCAGGAAGATCTGTTAACAAGCTCAGCACAGAACCACTGAGAATCATTCATGAGACCTTGGAAGAATCCACTGATTGGCTTTATGGCTTTATTTCTTTACTATCTGACATCGTATGGAGTGATGATGATGACAGTGATGAAGGTATTCGTAATGTAAAGGCTTCTGTAACTGCTCTAACTGCTGTTTACATACATTATGTTGGCTTACTCAGCTTTTAACCTCACAGTCAAGAAGGTCAAACAAATGAAAAGTGAACGTTGCTGCTAATAAAGCATCCACTGGTTATTCCAATCAGTAAATTGGTCTCTTTGTTAGCTTTCATCTCATGTTTAATGTACCATTACAGAAAAGCTGTCAGAATTAAATATTACCATTAGTACATCTCTAAGTAAAGAGTGCTAATTTACAGAAGACTTCAAAGACGCAACCAAAATATTCATCAGGGTATTGCTCCAGAGAATGGTAATAGCTGTTTTCTTTTAATATGTAGGAATTGAAAGAACCCTGCTAAATATACAAGATAAACCAAGAAACTTAGAAGAACTTTTTTATTTGATATATTGATTATGTATCAACATACTGACAATAAAAATAAAAGAAAAATGGCATTTTAACTAGACTAAGGGGAGTTTGAATGACAAACAGCAAATAATTCAATTTAGTAAAAATTATAGTTTTGTCATCGTGGTAACATTCTTTGTCTGATATCAGCTAATAAATGAAACTAAGCTGCTAACATTTCAAGTTTGGAAACAACCATTCTTCTCTTACCAGATAATTAATTATCTGGTATGATCAGAGCAGCACTGGATCATCATGTCATGTCATATTGGTCATTTTGACAAGTGTGACTGTAGCAGTGACATCTTCATTTTACAGTGGTTTATTTCATATTTTATTTGACTATAACACAAGTTAATTAAAAAGCAACATGTACTGAAACTGACTTCTACCCATTTGTTCATAAACTTGAGGTATTATCAAATTTCTAACCTTTAAATACGTGCATGAGCTTTTTGTATCAGCCCTGTATATGAATACTAATAGACATGCTGCTACATATGAGTATGTGAATTGGGCATCCTATTCTGAGATGTGATTTACAATCAGCAGAAGGCCAGTCTCTTCTACAGCTGAGAAATAGAAAAGATGAAATATGGAGAGCTTGCTTAAAATTGAAAAGTGTTCATTTTTCTCATTTCATAGCTCCTGAAGCACCTGCAAGCTTTCAAGTAGTTGAGTGGATAAGTATTAATGCAAGTAGAAAAGGTCATAAAATACCTGACGTACAAAAAATAAAGATCTGAATGCTCACTAACAAGTATTTGGAAAAGGTGTTCAGTCAATATCCACCAAGAATCGGAAAAAGCAGTAAGTAACTTACTGCACTATATCATAAAAAGTACAGTCATGTGCACTGCCTACACATTGTGCACTGCAATCAGTGCAACTGAGGCTGTATGCTTTATACCTTCATCCAGACTGAATACTTTGATGGCCATATGTGGACGTAAAGTAACAAATCTGGCAGTCAAGTGCTCCGAGTGCCACTGAAAGTGAGTATCTTTTGGGTTTAATTTCAGTGGAAGTGGTACTAGATTGACTGTCCTGCTTACCTGTATATACATTTTATAATCTGAAGATAAAACTGAACCATATCCTTAAAACATGGACCAAGCAAATTGTTAATGTGTAATCACATGTTTGCACTCAAAGCACAAATAACAGGTTTGGATGTTTCCTGGGTTACTACTGCTCACCGAACTTATCTATCCCTGATCCTGGAAAGCTTCTATGGTAGAAGAAATGTGTTATGAAAACCCAAAAATCTCAGAATAGTGTGCTGTCATTTAGCGTATAAAGAACTGAATATGTTTAAAAATGAAAATGAAGTCAAAGGAGAAAAAATATATTTTTTATATATAAAAGCACAAATAACAGGTTTGGATGTTTCCTGGGTTACTACTGCTCACCGAACTTATCTATCCCTGATCCTGGAAAGCTTCTATGGTAGAAGAAATGTGTTATGAAAACCCAAAAATCTCAGAATAGTGTGCTGTCATTTAGCGTATAAAGAACTGAATACGTTTAAAAATGAAAATGAAGTCAAAGGAGAAAAAATATATTTTATATATATATATATATTTTATTATTATATCTCTTATCTGATGTCAGTTCTTTTCTCTTGGTTTAGGCGAAGTGGAACATTCCCTGAAAAGAAAAGGTTGGTCAGTTGCCTTATTATAAAGGGCAAATATTTGGTAACATATATTTTAAGAATTAACTAGGATGTCTGTGCTATAGGTTCTGTCACTAGTTACCTGTCAAACTCCTGACTATGTATGCTGTACTGTAACGAAATCATTAAATAACAAAGTCAAGTTATAATACCTGCTGTATTGTTTGCTGTTCTGCGATAAATCTTGATTGTTTCATTATCATACTGAAAATATGAAAAATGTTCATAGCAGACCAACAGAGTTACTGCAATGATAATATCTGTACCTTTACTCCATCTGTGAGACTCTTATGAATGTCAATATGAGTTACACATGTGTCTGGAAAGAAAGAATATCTATTAAATAACGGCTAGGTGTTGTAAAACTGTTGAATATTTTGCCTGGTGTCAATGCAGAACCCTAAAATAAGGACTGCCTCTGAATCTTCTAGAAAAAAATTGCTTAGTTATCATTGAATTTTTACAGCAGACAAGAATAAAGCAAGTAGGATTTATAATACAAATCTTTCTAGACATGAAAATTGTTATGCTGACACATAAAACTTAAGTTCAACTTCTATTAAATCAAAATGAAAGTGTATTAGGCTTGGGATATTGGTGATAGGATGCAGAACTTTTCAAAACTAGGGGCTTTTTGCTCCAAATTGAACTCAGGTTGATAGCAGCAAGACGTGCTGGCCCATGTGATTTGAATTTTCTATCCATCAAATTCTCAATCGGTAAATGCCCATATTGAAGAATCTATCACCCCAGTTGGTGCTGACATTACAATCCACTTTTCCTTGAAGTTAATTGGAACTGGATCAGGCTTCTATTGAATGACACTTTTTGTCAGTCTCAATAGGGTATCCAAGGACCAAATAGGCTTAAAGACCAGGACCATTCATCTTTCTGTGGACCATCCTCCATGTTAAGACTGAAGAAATTCATAGACAGTGCAGGAAAAATTTCCATCTATTTATAACGTCAGTAAGATTCTCAAGAGGGCTCAGCATTATCCAATCTCTTCTCCCAAAGTCTGTATTTTTATTTTTACTGTAATAACTATTCTAAAGCTGTAGTACATTGCTGGCAGGGACCCAGGGTGGAAGGAGTCTGCTCACCATGGGCAGGTGTAGCTGACCAGGCTGGGAATGCTCTGGAGGTACTTCACTGTTGGGAAGGCTTAATCCATAAAGACATAATAGATGACACAGTGACCAGTCAGGGCTAGCTCCTTACACTTTGTATTAGGATACTTTTAGGTGTAGAAGAAGAATTCAGAGAAACCATAGAAATAAACTGGAAGCTGCTTAAATTACTCACTAGGAGGTGAGGAGATGGTAGTTAGGATTAAAAAATCCTCTCTTGAAGGAGCTGATTGTCAGTTTGAAATGCTTTCCTCAGGATTCAAAGCTCAGAACCCTGCTCTGGAAATAAATACCTGAGAAAGTCAGCTGGGTTTGGTGTCTATGAAATAGAAAAGGGGCTGGTGGTTCCTCTAGAGCCAGTACTTTACAGGGTAATACAGCCACCCATATGTGAAAGAGTCAAAACTCAGACTCACTTCATCTGCCTGGCCTGCGGAAGAGATTTTGAGTGAGTTTTTCTACTTCCTGTTTGCATGCTCAAGACCATTCCCCCCTTCTTTCAGAGGATATGGAGTCCCATCCTTGCCTACTAGCCGTTTCTAGCTCCAGAAACTAGCAGTTTCTCAGGTCGGACTGATGAAAGAAGTAGTCTAAGGCCCTTCCTGGATTCAGGCATAAACTTTTACATAGCAACATCCGCAAATAACTTGTTGCCATCTCTGGAGGACTCAATTTCATCCTGGCAGCTAGGATTTGGCCTTGATTATGCTGGATTTTGTCAGTAGGTCTGCTCAGTGACAGGCAGCTGTGCGCTCCTCAGAGCTGTTATTCTTTCTCTTGGCAGGCTTCTCTTAAAATAGAGTAAACGTCAAGGAGCTAAACAGCCTGGGTCCAAGCCTATACAGAATTTCTCTGAAAGCTCTGTGATAAAGAATACAGTCAACAGCTTTTCTCCTTAGGTGCAGTGAAATTCACTCCTATGGCTAAAGCTTATCAGCACAGAAGTTAGAGCTCTAGGGGATAAGGTGGGGACTCAGATGAGTCTTTGTGAGGACTCATAAACCTCACTGCCTGTTCCTCTGAGCGCAGGGTGCAGATTTCTTTGAATAGCTTTTCCTAAGAAAAAAACATCATGTTTATGGTCCAGAAATAAGATTTCCAAAGCTAAAGCACTCCAAAACAAAACATTGCATATGTGGTTTTTCTCACAAGGCTGCTGCTTGGGCTGGACTCAAATAAGGACCAGCAACTCAAAGGAATTTTGACACTTTTGGATATCCCAGTGTTAGTAGCCGTCTGCAAAATCACCACCAAAGCTTTAGACTTTGAGGTTTTCTCTCTCCATTTTCACTTAAGGGACCATTTCTGCATTGCAGTGCCTTCCACTTTGCACAACATTGTTACTCATAGCTTTGTGAACTACCTTTCTTGTGGCATTTGAATATCCCACACAAAGAACTGACAACACTAAGACCACGCAGTACACTACGGCCATCTCCAGAAAAGCTGGACAAGAACAGAGTTTCAATTTTCTGCTTTATTGACTAGCACTTTTTATGAATGCTAAAACACTAGCACAAAGTCTATTTTATAATGGAAATATTGCAACTGAAGAAATGGTAAGTTCATTGGCACCACAGTACAATTATATATGGAAGAAAATAAATAGGGGGAGGGGTAAGGAAACTGTGTAGTGATGAAGGGTGAAGAGAAAAGTGTAATGATAATTATGAGCCCGAATTAAAGCAAAGAGAACCTCCCTAGAGATGTAGCTCGAAAGAAAAGATAATAAGGATATAAGTAATGACATACTGGCATATGCAACAGGGCTAATATCAGTTTCAGAATCCTTTAGAAAGTATTTAAATGCTTTGCTAACACCTTTTTTATTGCAATTATTTTTTCCAGCCCTAGTCTTACCAGGAATATTTATCTTTAACAACTGGAAAATCGTGAACATTTTATATTGTCCAAGAAAAAAATGTAATCATCAGCAGGGGTAGTGAAAGATTATCCTGTAGAGAACTTTTTAGTCTTCAACAATGTACACATACAACATGCTAAAACTGCAAAGCATTTTCACAAAAAGGTATTCAGAGCCTAATAACAGTTTCCTACAAGTTTAATATGTTTTGGCTTCACTTTTTCCTAATACAATGGTTATGGCTGACAATACTGTTCATTTTTTCCTGGGTTAGTTTAACCTTTACAGACAAATCCAATTATTTGACAGCTGTATGTTTTCTCATATTTTGGTTCTTTTACTAGAATTTATTATTATAGAAACAGAGAGAAAAAGTTATTATTTCTTGGTGTTTGTACCCAGTATTAGTTGTGAGGTTGGAGAATGGTTGAAAACCATGGTGCACAAAATTAGAAATAGTTTTCTGTAAAAAATAGGCCAGTGCAGACACTTCAGCACAGTCACCTATGGCTAAAAGTTTCGTTATTAGACTGTGGTGATACTTGACTCTAATTTACATATGTGCAAATGAAAATTTAAACTCTAAACACGGATTCCTATTTTAGCTTACCAGTGTACACCTGCCCAGCTGTGCACATGTAGCAGGAGTTTCTAGGTATTAAAGTAGCATCTTCTTCCACTTCAAAGCAGCCAATGAATTCTGGCTAGGAAGCATAAATCTAGTACTTAATCTTAGGAGGAAGTTGTTCTAAACCTTTGAAAGAAGTTCTATGGTCAGAATTATTCATTTGTTATTTTATACTTTTAAACGTTTTTTCTTCCCCCTGTACGATAATCTTTGATTTTATACTTGTGCTTAGGTGAAATCCACTGTCTCACAGAAAGGGGAAAAAAAAAAGTTAGTTATTTTCTAAGTAATTTTCATTTCACTAAATACCACAAAGAAAGAAATAACTGAGAAAGTAAAAATATCATTATGGTATTGTTAATGTCTCTGCATTACCAAACAGATTTTTTTTTTTTTGACATAAGATTATTCTATACCAACAATCAAACAAACTTAATTTCTCTGAAATAGAGAGACCTCTAACCTTCTGTGAGTTAGGTCACACATATATGAGATAGAAAGAGGTATAAAAATAAACATACAGCATGAACCTATTCTCCTTACTTGGTTATAAGTCTCATTTTATTTTAAAAAATGTAATTAATAAATGATAGATTAAAACAAGAGGCCATAAATATAGCAGAAATTTCAGTTACAAGTTTTAAGAAACTTTGTTAATTGCAAATAAGCTTTTTGGCAAAGTACCTTATCCTTCATTCAGCTCTATCTCCTGTTCAAATGAGAATATGGTTCCCTGAGCATTAGACAGAAGGCTGTTAATATGCTGAAAACATACAGGTCATGCTCTTAAAAGACCTGACATCTTCTAAGGGTACGGTTGGTTACACTAATGTAACTGGGCAGATCTGGCCCAGGTGTGTTTACCACAGACCTGACTCCAGACGTTCACTCCCGTTAGCCCTCCAGAGGCTAAGACAGTCAGAAGTTATTCAGCACAGACTGTTTATTTGTTCAGATCTGGGTATTAATCTGAGCTAACAATAGCAAATAAAATGCTACTAAAATGAAAAGTGCAGATCATTTCTTAGATCGCCTGTTAAAAGCAATCAGAGAGTTCTGCCAAGGAATGGGAATGGGTAGGAACAAGTGGCTTAGAAAAGACTGGTAGTGGATTTACTGACTTAGATTTGAAAATGTTTCTGTTTTTATGGGCTGTATAAGCCCAAAAATAATCATTCCAGGGTATTCAAACAGAGCGGAGAAAAACATATTGACAGATATTGAAGATTTTAGTCCTGCAATTTACAGTGTGTGGCTGTATGTTTTTATCCATTAAGTACATAAGAATGGTTATGTATGATCAAACCAAAGATCCAGCTCACTCAGTGGGCCAGAATTCTTTATGGCTGTCTGAGAGCCACCA